AGAAAAATTTTGGTTTCAAAACCATTTAATTAAGGTTAATGAAGTTTGGGACTTGGGTACCGTATCTCATGCAGTAATGCATGTCTCTGTTCTTGATAGATGTCTTCCATTTGCAACAGCAGTTACATATTGGGGACTCAAATCCCCGTTATCCCCATGCCTTCAGAGTAGGGCAGGCTCTTGTCATAATTTTACATTATAACCCTTTCCAAATGGAGCCATAATGACATAATTCATTGTTGCATTTTGAAAGAGTGTGATCAGCGTGAGGATTTGATTGAGCAGTTCCACTCTTCCAAAAGTACTAAAACGCTTGCAGATATGTGATATTGAGCTGTTTTGGCTCTCAATTGCAACATAAATAGGTCAGGCAAGGCCTTTGAAAGGAATTTAATAGATACATCTCACAGTCACAGAGAAGCATGAAATTCTTCTGCTAAAATGAGAGTGGGTTTATGAAAGGTCACAGTTACCTTTTAAAGTAAGTTTTTGCAGGTCTGCAGAGCAAATATTGCATTAAAGATATGGGTAGAATCTTTGTTTTACTGATAATGCTCCAAGTTTTATTTTTTCCCCAAATTGTAACAGAGCTTCTTGTAAGCTAAGCAGCCAGCCTTAAGACTTTTGCTGTATTGCTTCTTAGTGAAATACTGAAATAGAAAGGCATTGAGCAGTAAGTACAAGAAGCAGCATAAGCTGCCAAAATAACAGCAAAATACTTTATTACCATTATTATTATTATTATTATTACTATTGGTGACTTTTAAGTCCTGTCATCATTTTTTCAGAAACTGTTGTGACACAAATAGCCACCCAAGTTGACTTAACTTAGAAGTTCATTTTGTTTGCCTCTATAAGCAGCAATCACTTACAAATTTGGGGAAGGGTCTATAAAGGACTTCATATAGATACCGATTTGGGGGGTGTACAGATGTCTGTTCATATTTAGCTATCTATTTATCTATCTTTACATACAGATATATGAAACATTTATAATAACTATACTTTCCTCCATTCCTAAGCTTCTACCCGAAGTGCTTTTCTGCTGAATTTGGTGTTGCACATGCGACACAGGGGATGGGTTAGAAACCTCTGGTGGGGAGACAAGAGTTCAAGTGCAGTCTTGGGCCTGGCATCTAAATCAAAACAAGCTTCTTCCAGGCTCCTAAAGCTTGCTCTGAGCCAACAGACGCTTCTCTAGGTGTCGTGGGCTGGGGTTATTAATAAATAAGTGACAGTGTCATTACATCATATGGAGAGTTTAGATTGGGAAATCTGAAATTGTCCTTGCTAAATTTTGGGATGTACTTGTATTTGGTGACATAGAGGCCCAGAGGATGTTTGTCATTGAGTATCACAGTAGGAAGGGATGCAGTAAAACCACTGTTTTGTGGGGTCAGGAGAGGATCTGCACCTTGTTATGCTCCTGCTCTGACAGAAGCTCAGCAAGCTTTTGTTGCTCCATCAGGCCCCTGGAGGAAAGCTTTGAACAATGGTCGATGCAGGAGAGATGTCACAGGTGATGGAGCATGTTTGTGCCAAGGCACAGCGCAGAAGTCAGCACTGGCTCCAGTGAATGCCACATATTTTATGAATTTTCAGTACGTTTTCAAAAGTATCCCTTGGAATGCAGAATTGAGGATTAAAACTAATAGCTGGCTGTGTCAACACTGAGTGGTTTTACACTGTAATGGTAGAATTCAGTGGCCTCTTCACTTCAAAGGTGTCAACTAAAAGATATTGAACTGAAAAAGAGGTGGAGATTAACAATGCTTTGAGAGAGCAGAAATGAAGGTTGAGGGCAATACTGAAGAAGAAGCAGATGCAGGTGGTGAGAGAGTTGGGTTTTTGCAAGAAGAGAGTGTTTCTCAGGAGCAGAGAGCCACTGGGCTCTCCAGGTACAGCAGCTGCAGGACAGCAGTGCTGGGGACGAGGTGAGTCTGTGCCCTGCACAGCTCCCTGGCCCCATGATGGAGAGTCGTCCTGGTGGCTGTAGCTTGGGGGTCTAGTCTCCATCCTCTCAGCTTACCATGGGAGCCTATCCCAGCCCAGCGGAGCTGCTGGGAATCTCCTTGTATTCCTGCAAGAGCAGCTGTCCATGCAGAATATAGCTCTGGCTTTTGGGGAGTTCATTAGAACATATAATTCAAAACCAAAAGAACTCTTCAGAGCTGAAGGCTGATAGGAACTCAGGCAGTGTTAGGGTGCCACCAGGTAAGGACACTTCTGTTATTTATCCAGTTCTGCTGGTGGTAGGAGTAGGTCCGTGAGCAGCGTGGCATCTAGTGAGTTACTGGGGTTTGTGAGGAGCCACTTTAGTTTTGATTTGGCTCACCACCGATTGTCAGAGGCATGTGGGGAAGAGGGTGCACACGTGCCATGTGCAGGAGACAACTAGAAGAAGGTGGGAGAAAGCCTTGTCTCTGGGGGCACTTTGCCTGGCCCATGGGACAGCAGCAGACACTGCACTCCCCGGAGAGGCTTCTCCCGTCAGGTGGCAAAAGGCCTCCAGCCATGGGCCGCAGTGGGAGGCTGGGCTGGGCCAGTGGTCTCCTGCCAGCAGGCAGACCTGGGGAGGGGCAGGGGCTATAAAAGTAACTGCATCACAAACTCTGGGGCCTTTCCAGACTTGTTTTCTTGGGCTTTGGAAGCTCGGGGGCTTTTTGCGTCTGGGAGCTTTTGAGTCTGGGACCTTTTGAGTCTTGTGGTTTTGCTTTGGCGCCTGCTGAGGAGCCTGCTGAGGTCTGCTCCTTTGTCCTGGCCCTAGCCTGCTTTTTTCTCCCTTTCTCCCTGGCTCCATCCTGCTTTTTGGCTCTTCTGCCCCCACTGGCACTTGCTCGCCCTCGCGTCTGTCCTGCCTCCCCGTGTCCTTGACCACTGGGCCGTGTCTGTGGGGCAGACCGTGTCTGTGGGGCCGGCCGTGCCTGTGGGGCCGCACCTGTCCAGGAGCCATGCAGGCTCCCCAGCAGGCGCAGCTCATACCTCGCTGCCTGGACCTCAACAGCCGCTCTCCATCCTGCCGGTGGTAGTGCCGCTCTCCCTCTCTGTCTCCCCTCTCCCTCTTGTTCTCTCCCCCCATTCCTTTACCGTTTTCCTTCCTCCTTCTCTTTTGTAGCCCTCTTTAGTAGGGCAACTTCTTTTCTCCTTGTTCTTAGTTTTGGTTCTCAAAATACGAGGTTGTCTCGGTTCACTTAATTTCGTTCTAGACAATCCATTTTTAAAAGAACTCCTCGCAGTTCCCCGCCATGTGACACGACAGGGTTCTTTACCCACAGCTGATATTTAGCTACTTGTCTTTCACCAGTATAAAAAATGCTAAAATGGTGGAAAAGTAAATAAAGCTCTACAGCAAAGCCTGAGCATGAGAAATGCTAAATATCACTGGCTTCTGTCACTCATATATGTCATGTTTAGGAGACCAGTTCCAGAGGTATTTAGTGTGGGAGGCTGAAGTGGGATGTCCTAAGCCCTGGCTTTTGCCTGGTGCGCTCATGATGGGTTTGTGAATATGTAGTAAGGTAGCAGGCATGTTGCCTTTCTGAAGGCTTGACTAAAGCCCAGCAAGAAGCCTGGAACGGATCTCAATAGGCCCGTAATGACTTGAAAATACGCGTACTTTCATGAAGTCTTCTAAATTATTTCAATGTTAATTTACCCTGGTGGAATAACTGTGGGCTCATTCTGCTGTTCCTTTGATGTTTGCAAGCTTTTGGATCCACCGGATATGCCTTTGTGTTCAAATTTGTATTTGTAGCTGTCCCAAAGTTTTTCAGGACATAGCACATCACCAAAGATTGTTATTTGTTACTTAAAAACTGCTGAACTGTAATTCAGACTCTGTCCGAAATCAAATTCTGTCCAAATTTGAATTCTCTGTTCACCATTATTCATTTTCCATTCATAAACTTTTATCAAGTGATGAGGCAGTGCAGCAACCAGCGGGTAGAGTCATCCATTCAGAAACACATCTGAGAGTCCCTCTAGACTCTGGTTGGTGAGTCATACTGAGCTGTGAACACATCCTGAACGTCAGGATCCTTTCACATGCTGAAGGAACTGTTGCAACTTTACTCATCTGGTCTTTATGTCGCTCTCCGGGGGCTTTCATCCAAATCGGCTTCTTTTTACAGTAGCTCAGGAACACGTTATGAAATCTCCTATTTTCTGGCAGAGTTATTGCTGAGTACGGCATTTAGGATCTTAATTCTGCAACAGGATGTGCTGAGCACGTGGAAAGTGTGAATCTGCTCCATATTGCAAGAGGTATCCTACTCAAGAGTGTACGGGACTCTGCTCAGACCGCACAGGAGTACGCACTCTGCAGCTGTAAGCTGAAGGGAGAATACAACTCTGCAAAGCTTTTTCTGTCACCTCTGCAGCCTAACAAGTCTGTTTGTGGGCCGAAGTGCAGAGTTAACAGCTGAAGGCTAAACATTTTGCCTTTTGTGTGATTCTTACCGTGCTAATTATAATGTGACTTTTGCCTGGAAAATGATTGGTGCCAGGGGATGGATGAGGAAAGAGAACAAATTTCTTTACTGTAAATATTGGTTGTTGAAAATATCCTGGAAGAAATATTTCTGAGGGTCTTAGTTTCACTTTTTTTCTCAATGCTGTTGGTATTGCCGAGATGGCAGTGACACCTTGTGGTACCAGGTGCAATCCTTCAGGAAGTCACTGTAAGATTGCAATAGCAAAAAGTCCAGGGATATTTTTAATTCCTCTTTACAGATTATGTCCTCTATCCTTCCCTGCGTGCTGTTCACTAAGTAGGATGTACTTTCCTGGATTTAAATGTCCTGAAAGTAGCTCTGGTCTGATTCACATCTCTTGGCTTTACCAAAGAGGAATCAGCTGTACCTGCAAATCAGGATCACATTACAGGGCGCCTTTGCTTTCACTCAGTGAAAATGCTTGTTCTTCTCTGGTTGTCCTGGTGAGCCAGGAGAGTTTGTGATTGGAGGGGACATTGCTCATCCTGGGTATTTTCTCTTTTTCAGGGGGTTCATGAATCGAAAGGTGTGTCTGAAGATTATTTGAAGCTGGAATCCCTGATCCAGAAGGTTGTTTCTCCTTACTTGGGCACGTACGGTCTGTATTCCAGTGACGGACCCTTCATGCACTCTGCCTGTATCTTGGGTAAGAACAGCACAGACTCCATTTGGCATAGCACAGAGGCCTTCCCAAAACCTTGCTCCGTGCAGGGCCAGGGCTTGCACAAGAGATGATGGCTGCCAGTGCTTACATGAGTACATCAGGCTTCTCTTCTAAGACCATGCAACGTGCAGAGTCACTGTAAAACTTGCAGTGGCAAAAGATGAAAACAGATCATCATAAAAGTGCTCAGTAATAAAAAAATTCAGTAAAAGGAATCTAGAGTGTGTTTAGCATTTCCATTGTACCTTTTAACAAGAGAGCTTTAACACAGGATGCTTTATGGACAGTGAGAGGGAGAAGCACAAAGCCACTTCTAAAGTACTCTAGTTCATTTTCATTAGTCTTCATTAGTACACAAAGATCATACAAGGTTGTTAAAATTAGGGAAGAGAGTAGGAATTTGTCTTGGAGAAGAGTAACACATAAGCCTTCAAGCATGTAAAAGCTTTTTGCAGAGTAGAAGGTAGTAAGCTGTTCTCCATCCCAATGGAGATAAGAAATAGAGTGGGTCTTACATAGCAGGGGGAATTCATATTACGTGGAAGGAAAAATCCCTAATTTCACATTAATTGCCTCTGGAGATTATTGAATCTTTCCTGCTGAGACACTTTTTACCTGTCACGAATATCAGCGTTCGTAAGGAGCAAGGGGGAAACGTGGGCTGGCCTGGTGGCAGCTTGAGTTCCTCCCAGCTTAATTTCTGATTCTTAGAGCTCTGAAGCCTTTGGTGACTTCTGTGATGGCAAGGTTTAGCCAGGATGAAGTTTGGATATCATACATAGCAATGCAATCTGTTGAAAATACAAGGGGAATACTGCCAGCCTAAATTAAAAATGAAATGTGGTAGTACCTGGGTATTTTATTGTAAATACTGGGATGGTCTGATTAAATAGAGCAGACAGGAGGGAAGAGAAGTACAATTGCATGTTTTCTTTGCACTCAATTCAGTCTGTTTGCTTGTCAGAAATGGTCAGTAAAGTAGTTGATTTTCCCTTGGAGCTGAATGGCAGAATGGTTGTGTTGCAGCAGGTGTTTAAGAAACAAGTGAGTTTTATGTGACTAAATAGAGGCTGGTTATTGATGGAAAATGGTTCAGGATTACTATGTATTCATTGCTCGCCATTAAGACGCCACAAGCATTGAAATGGAGCCCCAAATTGACATTTTCTAAATACAATCTTTTGTATGTCAAGATAGAAGAAATGCACCCAAAGAGAATAAAGCATCAGTGAAATGAATTGTTAGCAAATAAATGTCTGATTGCATGACTGCAGAAGATAGGAGGTTTTGGTGGGCTGGGCACTTCCTCTTGCTGCGGTCTGGTTTGTAGACGTAGCAATACTCCTGAAGGTCTCAGTGTAATCACTGAACCTGGATCCAAGGGAACTGAATGTGTAAGTGGCTGCTTCTTTTAAACTAGTGCATCTAATTCTCTTCAACTATTTTGCTAGCATGTTGCATGTTGTTACCAGAGTTCATAGCCTTAGGAACCTTTTCTGATTACCATCTCAAACTCCTAACAATGAAAAAGTCCAAAACTGAACTTGGATCAGATTATTTCACTGCTGAGGCAGACACTTGCTGCAAAATACAGTCTTAAATACAGAAATTGACTTTTTTAGTAGTACAACAGATGATTGGAATTTGTGTCCAGGTAAGCACATAATCGCACAATAGCATAATTTTAAGAGATTGGAATATGTGTAGGAAATTGCAGAGTTTGCAGGGAACATATACCAGCATCCTGATTTAAAGCAGACAGTTATTTGCAGTGGCTGTCATCGACTTCCAGAGATTAGTTTGATCCCTGGTCCAGTTGTGCCTCCTTCATGGGATGGCAAAGTGAGAGCAGCAGAAAGAAGGCTTCAAAAGTGAGACCTGTTATTCACACCGCTTTTTCTTCTGATAGGAGGAGTGACTCTGAGCACTGAGACCTGCCCAGAATTTGAGTGGTGGTCATTTTGCTCATGATGGTCATTTTATTCACACTGCCAGGACATTCCAATGCTAAACTACTGCCAGAAAGGCCACTCTGTGCTCACTTGCTGCCATCTGCTGCTTATTTATTTGGGAAAATCCCACTTGGTTAACAGCATTCATGCAATCAGTGCTGGATTTAAGGCAGATTTGCTCCCCCCAAAAAAAAGGTTTCTGTGGGCACTGCCCTCTAGTTAACATTTTTAATCACTCTTGGTGGTCTCCCCCATCTGGTCTCTAAACTTCAAAAGTTTTTCCAGAATTAGTAGAAAAACTGCCTGTTTTAATCCTCATGCTCCAAATTTGAAGAGACTTCTATTTTCCCAGGATGGGTGGGAAAGTTACATTTCAGCTACTAGAAATGAGTAAAAACATTTATAGCCTGAAAAAGAACAGAATTGCACTTTCTGTTCTTGTCTATAGGAAGTATTTACAACTGTATATCCCCTCTCTCACTGTGTTTACTGTTTTATTTCAGCTGGTGAAGTTGTGTGAATATAAGGGAATCTCAGTTATTATTTGTAAAGATAGTTTTGGGGTTTTCAGTATGCTAAAGAAATCTAGGAAATCTGAAGCCTGTGAATCTACAAAACCAGCAAAATGTCTTCTTCTAGAAAAGTTTCATTCATGAAAAGCTCATGAATAATCAGGACTTGACATTTCTTTTGAACACTCATAATTATTAGTACCATAATAGGAGACCTTGCAGCTACTACTCTGGATCTTTGTTTGCAGAGAAGCGGTTCTTCAGACGTTCCAAGTCGGGTGACATCCTTGCCAAGAACCCCGTGGTGCGATCAAAGAGCTACAACAATCCACTGCTGACGCCGGTGGCCGAGTATGAAACAGAGAGCATGGCTGCCAACGGAGCCGGCATCCGAAGGCACTCCGTCTCAGAAATGACCTCCTGCTTGGAGCTCCAGGGCTACTCCAACCTCACCACCGTCATGGACAACGGTTCCAAGAGCTCCGTGACAACCGCGAAAAGCTCACTGCCCGGAGACCAGGAGAGGCCCAGCCCTGGGTCAGTGCAGTGCACCAGCAAACTCAGCACAGCTGAGCAACAGAAAGGATTCTTCCACTCACTTGGTGACCCACACAGGTCTTTTGAGCTAGGCAGAGACACTTCCTTACTTCCAGTTCCCTCTTCTAGCCCTGAGAACATAGTGGATCAGATTTTGGAGTCTATGGACTCTGATTCTGAAGGCATTTTCATTGATTTTGGCCGAGGCTGTTCCAGTTCATCAGCGTACAATGTGGATGTGAACAGGCAGAGCATTGTGTGAAGGATATTAGGAGACAAACTGTGGAGTTTTATATTATATATGAAAGTTACTAAGACGGTGTGTCAGACTATGGGCAAGCTGGCCATGCCTGGGGAGATTTAAGGCAGATTTGCCAGGTCATCATGGCTATACTGAGCAAACGCCGCTTGTTTATAGCAGGAGGGAATCTGCTGAGGGGGAAGCAACTCCAACCGCTTTTCCCCATCCCTGTCACCCTGCAGATGGATTTGCTCTTTCTTTATCAACTTAGGAGTTCACAAACTCACAAGTGTCTGGGAAAATATGATTAGTGCAGCTGGCAGTGTTTGTTCAGGAAAACAGCTCAGCAAATAGCTTTGCTCACTTCTGATTTTCTAAAGAGGTTTCCTGCAGATGGTAGGTTATTCTCTGAACTGTAACACCTCAGCCAGAGTAGAAACATATCCTTGAAAAACAAACCAACAAACAAATACAAAAGGCTTTGGGCTTTCATGCCACAGAATACAACAATAAAAAAGTCTCTTTTAATATTTTTCTTGTACATCCTTGTATGCACTCCTTTGCCTAATAGTGATAAAGGCAAATAAAGAGAAATGCGCTTCCTGATGTCACACAATGCCTAGCGTCTCATTTTCTGTTTCACTGTTTCCTCAGCCAGTGCCTTGTGTCTGGGAGAGTTGTCTCAAAATTGGCTTTCAAGACCGAAATTAATTTGCTCTGAATGTGGCGCTTCTGAGAAATCTGTAATGTCAACTTCTGAAGCACCTGTGGGATGGAGAGATTCCATCATATACGTGTTTCCTAAATAAATGAAAATATGGCCTCTCAGGGGAAATCCTCATTATATATTTATATTTTTACAGAAATACCATAATGCATCTGCTGTCAGTTATGGTTTTGGGAAGTGTGAACCTTGCAGCTCTTCTTATCCTGAGCACACCAGCTCTTCCCTTGCAGTAACACAGTGGTGTAGGAGCTGGATCAGTAGTTTTGCAGAGCATTGATGCACGTGATACCAAGGTGAAGCAGAAATCCTGCTGCACAATTGAATTTTGATCAGGGGGGTTTGCAGTGAAGGCAACTCTATTTTGTGCCTGTACTTTGGTGGAAGGAGTCAGCTGGTGTCTCCTGAGCTGCTCAGAGACTCCGGTCTTTGGTTTGGTCTGGGCACTGCCTGGTGCTTTGCTCAGGGACCGTCCAGCTTTGCTCTGGACTTGCACTGCTGACCCCAGCATTTGCCACACTCTTCCCCGGCTTTGATTGTGTTTCTAGACTCAAAGCTGTGCTTCTGACACTCAGCTTCCTTTGGCCTCACTATGTGTTAGCTCAGGGGAAGCAGAGGGGGGCACGTCACTCTGTGGTGTGAAGAGACATAAAAAAAGCAAGGACACAAGAGCCACCCTCCTGCCCTGGACCTCCGCCCCACCCCCCTCCCCCGGACCCCCGCCCGGGACCCCCTCCTCCAGATGGGGCGCTTTCTAACCCCCCCCCCCCCCCCCCCCCCCCGAGCCCCCTCCTAATGAGGGGGCCCTTCCTCACCTACCCCACCCCCCCCAGGGACCCCCTCCGAAGGAGGGGACCCTTCTTAATCCCCTCCCACCCCGGGACCCTCTCCTAATGAGGGGGCCCTTCCTCACCCCCCCTCCCCCCAGGACCCTCCCTGCCCCCCAGCCCGACCCCCCAGTGTGATGTCGGGAAAGCCGGAGCCCCGGCAGTGTCGGCCCGTGTGTTGCACTGGAATGGGGGGACCCGCAGAGCGGCTCCTGCCCCGTGTGGGGACCCCAGCGAGGGCGGGGGGCGCCGGGCTCCGACCCTCTGGGCTTTATTCTCCGGCACCCCGAGCCCCGCGGCTGCGAGGAAAGAAGGAAAAGGGGAATGGGGAATGAGAACAGGGGAGCAGATCGGCAGTCAAGGGGAAGGGGACAAGGACAGGGGGCAGGGGGAGAGAGGTCGGGGTGTGCGGGGTAGTCGGGGAGGGGGCTGGGGGGAAGGCAGGGTGGAGGAAGGAAAGGAAGGATTGAAGGCAGGTTTGGGGAAGGAGGTGGAACGTGTGGAGGGGGAAGGTATCACGGAAAGGCGGATGGAGGAACTGGGGTGGGGGGTAGGGGGGGAAGGGGAGCAGGGAGAGGGGGCACGGGGGAGCCCGGCTGGGGAGGGCAGGAAGAGGGACAGGACGGAGGAACAGGGTAGGGGTGAGCAGGGGAATAGAAAGGGAGGAAAGGGAAAGGGGTGTAGGGGGGACCGCCCGGGGGGGGAGGGAGCGGAGGGCTAGGGGGGAGAGGTTGGGGTGGGGGAGAGGAGGAAAGGAAGGTAGATAGAGGAGGTATTGAGAAAAAGAAACGCAAAAGAAAAGAAACGCACAAGAAAAGGAAGAGAAAAAGAGATAAAGGGGCCCAGCCGGCCGCAACCTCCCGCGCCGAGCAGCAAATGGCTCTGCCCGGCCCTCCCCGCGGTTTAAATCCCCCCGGCCCCGCCCCGCGCAGGCGCGCTGGGGCCCCGCGCACCTGTGCGCGCACCTGTGCTGGCCCCGCCCCCCCGCCCCCCGCCCGTAAATGGCGGCGGATCCGCACCCGCCTCACGTTCTGCGGGGGATGCTCGGCCCGGGCTGTGGCGGGACCGGCGCTCAGAGCGCCGTGCGGAGATCGGATCGGGGCTGCTCCCGGCGCTGTGCGGCGTCCGACGGGCTCAGGTGGGACCGGGACTGGGATCCGGGCCCGGGGATTTGGGTCCCGGTCCCGCCGGTGTCTGCTGTGGGAGCCGGGCAGAGCCGCTCCTTCCTCGGCGGGCAGGGTGGGGGTGCCGGGGCCGGAGGATCGAGGCGGGATCGGGACCGGTATCGCCGCGGGCGGGAGGAGCCGCTCCGCCGGGGCCGCCGCTCCCGCTCCGGCTGCGCCCGGTGCGGGACTGGAGGAGCCCGGAGCCCCCGAAGGGCAGAGATCACCTCCGGTCCTTGGCTCGGCAGGGCAGGAGCTGCCGTGCCCTACCCGTGGCTCGCAGCGTGCCCAACGCACGTCCCGGCACGGGCACCGGGGCACCGGACAGCGCTGGCACGGACACGGCTGAAGGGCTGCCCGTGGCTCCTCGGCCCGGGGCTGCTCCCCACAGGCACGCAGGGATGCTTCAGCCCGGACAGGTGCCACCGACAGCCCAAAGGGACCTCAGGGAACGGCTGGCATCACCTGGGAATGGAGGCACGGCCGTTTGCAGAGGGGCTCTGACAGCAATCCCCGTTTCTGACCTCCCCGAGCTCCCACACAACTGCCAGGTATGTCCCAGCCACCCCAAATCTCCTCCCTCTTTTCTAGCCTGAGGCCATCATCCACCCCCAGCGTTTGAGCCAAGGCAATCTTTCCTCGCAGATACTAAATGCCAAGCTATAGCCTCGGAGATGCCTTAAAATTAGAGGTTCGAGTGTGATGATGTTTGGAGATTTCCAGGGAGCCAGCTGGAGGTGCAGAAGTGATGGAAAACTCTCACAGGTGGGTCCCACTGGAGGTGTGCTGCAGGCAGGGATGTGCATCCCTTTCCTGAGGGAAAAGGCCATGCAGAGGCCGCTGCTGAGGCTCTGAAAGGAGCGGAGTTTCTGCAGGAGAGATGTTCTGCCTCAGCACAGGCCGGGAGCGCACCCAGCCACTGCCTTGTCCTGCTTTAAAACATCAGCAGGAGCCTGAGCTCTGGGGGGTGAAATCAGCTGAATTCCAGGGAACTCTGTCAAGTGACCCCAGAGACATCCCTGGGGCTGGGGGATGAGGGTTTTAAATAGCAAGTTCTGTAGAATAGAGACCTGTTCTTGTCCTGATCCCAATGAGCTTCCCTGGAACCTCTGCTGGTTCCTGACACAGCTGGTGCTAAAGTGGCAGCTCTGCATGGGAATTTCCACTCTCCACGAGGCACTGTCAGGTTATTCCAGCAGGAATTCAGCAGGGAACCTGGGGCTGTGGGTATAATTCATCTGAACTAGCAAAGCTGATACTGAACCCCAAATCCGGGCACCACGCGGAGAAAAATAGGATAGTCTGAGAGGGTTACCAAGAGTCCGTTGTGAATTCTCAGCCCCCTCCACTGGGCCCAAAGAGCCCTCTCAGAGAGCAAACTACGTTATTCAAGCTTGTTCCAGGCTGCAAAGGTGTGGCTTCTGTTTCTTCCCAGCCCAGGCAGATTTTCTCATTTTGCTTTTGGACTGTGGCAGAGGAACCCCCATGGGGAAGGGGGCATGCAGACTTCCAGCAGATCAGGTCAGCTTAGTAAACACAGGCTTCATCAAAGCAAAATTGAGTCCCTTATTGAAGCAGTTTTGGTTCTGTTTTGAATCTATTTCCTAAAGGGTAAAAAATGTCAGAGTTGTTTGCTTGGTGACTGTGTTACAGCCCTGTTCTTTGCCTTTATTTTTAGGAGGTCCAGGCTGATAGCAGCAGTCAAGGCCCAGTGTGCCAGGTGAGCAGTGGACAGAAGCAGTTGTTCTTGCTCAGGTTTTGGTTTTTGGTGCAACTGTAAGCATCCCTTCCTGTTTGTGTGCTTTATGGGAATCCACTCAGAGTATGCATAGCCCCTGTCACCAGCAGGCCGATGGACTGGGTTTGCTGTACTTGTGAGTCCTCTGGAAGTATTACAGGACCCTGTGATGAAGCCTTCCGATTTTGTATTTCAAGGTCCCATCCTGGTAGCCCAGAGGAATGGCCGAGGAGTTGTGGTGAGTCAGGGAGGTAGGGAGGAGAAGTGAGAGTCCACTCGAGTTTCAGCAATGCAATGTCTCCTTGTGTGCCCTTAACCTAGGTATACCCTGAGATGACGGTGTCGGCCTCCAAGCAGGCCTGAGGTGTGTGGCCTGAGCATTCTGAGCAGAATGGTGAGTAGCAGAATTATCAGGTTTTGGCCGACATGCTGTTAAGACTGTGCACTGATGTTTGGTTTTCTTTCTCTGGTCAGACCAAGAGAGAACAGCCTGGGGACAACTGGAACTTCCCAGACAGGCAGGAGGCCTCCCCTGATGGGGATTTGCATCCCCAGATGTGTGCAAGATAAGTCGCGGGCTACAACCCACAGAGGGGATGGAAGAGAGGTGCCAGGTTGGGACTCCCCAGGAAGGGTTTTTGAGTCAGATTTGGAGATGGGGTTGTCCAAGAAGCATCTCCTTAGGCCCTCTAAAGGGAAAGTGTCTGTTTTGATCTCAGTGCTGAGGTGCGCAGGGCAGAGCAGTTCCGGTGTGTGTCCTGTCACTTGTCTCTGGTGCACTCTGTGTTGTTTGGGTCTTTCGGTCCTTTCTTCTCATCAGAAGCTCACTCTCCCTCTCCTGTCCCCTCGTTTGTCACGTCCTGTCCTGTGTCACGGGTGTCCTGTCCTGTCTCCCGGAGCTGCACTGCTCTGCTGCATAGCCTGTAATAGCACAAGTCCTGTGGACTTGAAATTTGTAATGCAGGGTGTATTTGAGCTCTAGATTGTATTAGGAGATTGATGTAAGATGTCTGGTGCTGTTAAGTTGTCCTGCTGCCATTTGACACTAGTCCTAACTTCCTTTCAGATGCAGAAAGTTCAAATCAGTGGCAGAGAGCCCCAGTCCTGGGTGAGGGTGTTGCCATGAGCAGGTCAGTCATTGTTTGCATTTGCAGGGGAAGCCTGAATGGTGACCGTGTTACAGCGGTGTTCTTTGCATTTATTTTTAGGAGGTCCAGGCAGATAGCAGCAGTCAAGGCCCAGTGTGCCAGGTGAGCAGTGTACAGAAGCAGTTGTTCTTGCTCAGGCTTCAGTTTTTGGTGCAACTGTAAGCATGCATTCTTGTTGGTGTGCTTTAGGGAATCCCCTCGCATTATGCGTAGCCCCTGTTGCCAGCGGGCCGATGGACTGGGTTTCCTGCGCCTGTGATCCCTCTGGCAGTGTTTCAGGACTCTGTGATGAAGCCTTGAAATTTTGTATTTCAAGATGGTATCCGAGTAGCCTTTGGTAATTGCTGAGGAGTTGCAGTGAGACGCCAAGGTAGGGAGGGGGAGCCAAGGTCCACTTAGGTTTCAGCATTGCTGTGTCACTTTGTCTCTTCTTCACCCAGGCAGACCCTGCGATGACAGTGGCAGCCTCTGGGCGTGGCCAAAGTCTGTGGCCCGAGCAACCGGGCATTCTTAGGAGAATGGTGAGTAGCAGAATTTCTGGGTTTTGTCCATTGTGCAGATAAGATCATGCCGTGATGTTTGATGTTCTGGATTGTAGCTGGGCAAGGGACCACAGCCTGGTGACCATAGGACATTCCCAGCAGATGAGGCAGCCTCCATTCGCACGCAACATGGATTCTCATCCCCATATGTCTGAGAGATAAGTCGAGGGCTAAGGCCCACAGAGGGGACGAAAGTGAGGTGGTGGGAGGGTCTTTTGAATCAGCTCTGGGGGCGGGGATGTGCAGGAAGTGTCCCTTTAGGCCACCTAAAGGGAAAATGTTTCTTTTGATCACAGTGCTGAGTTGTGCAGGGCAGAGCAGTTCTGGTGTGTGTCCTGTCACTTGTCTCTGGTGCACTCTGTGTTCTTTGGGTCTCTGAGTCCTTTCTTCTTGTCGAAAACTCTTGCTCCCTGTTCTGTCCTCTCGATTGTCATGTCCTGTCCTGTGTCACGGGTGTCTGCACATATTTGTCCCGGAGCTGCTGTGTCCTGCTGCATAGCCTGTAATAGCACAAGTCCTGGGGACTTGAAATTTGTAATGCAGGGTGTAGTTGGGCTTTAGCTTGTATTCGTTGATTGTCATAGCATTTTTGGTGCTGTTAAGTTGTCCTGCAGCCGTTTTACACTAGTCTGAAGTTCCTTTCAGATGCAGACAGTTCAAATCAGTTGCAGAGAGACCTAGTCCTGGGTGAGGGTGTTGCCATGCGCAGGTCAGTCATTGTTTGCATTTGCAGGGGAAGCCTAAATGGTGACTTTGTTACAGCAGTCTTTATTCTTAGGAGGTCCAGGCAGATAGCAGCAGTCAAGGCCCATTGTCCAAGGGGAGCAGTGGACAGAAGCAGTTGTTTTTACTCAGCTTTCAGTTTCTGGTGCAATTCTAAGCATCCTTTCTCATTTTTGTGCTTTAGGGAATCTACTCGGAGTACTCATACCTCCATCACCAACTGGACAACGGACCGGTGCCAGGAGCGTGGCTTCTCGTTTTCCAGCCTTCCTTGCTGTGGCGGTTTTGAGGAACTTACTGGATGGTTTTCTTTTGTTCATAGTTGGTGTAGGAGAACGGCCATGGTGTGCTTTTTGCTTCTTACGGTTCTTGGTTCAGGTGCTCATGACAAGGGTTTTTTTTGGGTTGAGTCTTGTGGTTGGATTTCTTTTTGATGGGTTCTTATGTTTTTGAAGGATGTGTTTTTAAAGGTTTATAATGTTTTTTATGGGTCATAGCATGAAGTAGAGGGTAGGTTTTTAATTCGGTTGTGGAGGCTTTTATTGGCGTGAGTATGTAGTGGTTTATTTTGGTTGGTTTGAGGTAGTGTCCTGTAGTTTATTATTGAGGTTTTTTTAATATTGATAATTGCATTCTTGTTTATTATGTTGTAGGGGTTTTATTTGTTTGTCTTGTTTGATTGCTTTGTGTGTTTAATGTCTCAGACAATTTGGGAGTTATTATTTATGGTTACTTTTCTCTTTTGGTGACATGTTTATTTCTAGGTGGTATTTGTGTTTTGATGGTTTAAGGCATTCTGAGGTCCTTGAGTTAGGAATTATTATTTTGTTGTTGTGAATATATTTTTTTTGTAGTTGGATATATTTGTTGTTTTTTATTAGTTTGATTTTTGGGAACATGGGTATTTCTATGGTGGATCTTTATAGGTAGTTATTTTATTTGGGTGGTGAGTTTTTTGTTTCTTCATGGTTTCGATTTTTTTATATCTGTAATTATTTGGGGGGAGTTTAGTTAATTTTATAGAGTATTGGGTTCTCTTGATGAGTTAGTGTAGTGGTAGGGTATTGTTTGGTTTTTTTTAAGAAACATTTGGGATCTGTTTTATGGTTTGTAGTATAAGAGGTTAGTTGAAGAGTTTTTTTCTTTTTAGTGTTTTTTTTGTTTTGTGTGGGTTTTTATAGGTGTTTTTTTTTTTTAATTAATGTTCCATTTTTGTTATGTGATAAGAGCTGTTAGTGAAAGGAGTGTAGTGGGGTTTTTTTTGCTGGTAGTTGGTTGGCTGGTGGAGCCTTTCTGAATTTTTTGGATGGTATTCTTGGTTATTCAATGCTGTTTGTTTTGGCATTTTATTTTTAGGAATTGGATTAGAACTGCAAAGTTCTAACTGTAACTCTAATGAAACAAAACAAATGCATAAATATGAAAATGGGAATATAAAACTTCAATTTTAAATATAAACGGAAAGCATATAAATAAAACATGTAACATAAATAATGTTATCCTTTACTATTAGATAGTATATTGTTTGATATATAGTATTTTGTTTATATAAATACATATAAATATAGATTATAAATATGAATAAAATCCATATAAAACCTCCATATTGAGATGTATAATTAATACATGTGGATATATAAATATAAAAATTACTAAATAATAGAAATCAATACAGTACATAATGCATATTTTACTGTGTATGTCCTATTTTAACACATTCTATGTCCTAAATATTATATATCGAAATACGGTACCTCAATATATTGTAATCGAATATATAACAACTTGTAAAAATCAAAAATAGAAAGGTAGAAATATTTAAATATAGTTTAAAATAAAGGGGATTTTTATTTTGTATTTGGTAGTAGGTAGGGTTTTTTTAATAAAATCTATAAATATAAATAAAATAAAATTAGAAATCTGTGTATAGAAATACATCCTAAATACCTTAAGATCTATATAAAAAATTCAAAGGTAAGTAAAAATAAATATTAGCAGTATCTATGAAGTATAATATAAATAATAATTTGTCTATCTTGCTACCTTAATATATATATGATACATATTTATAAACACATCACTATAAAGTAGAAATGCAAATGTGACTATAATGATGAAAAAAACATGTAAATATTCAAGTATCGTTTAAAGAAAGGGCTTTTTTTGGTTTTTATTTGGTTAGAGGCAGGGTTTTAATGGAAGAAAAATGAATATACCTTTTGATATCATTCTAAGTATAGAAATATATATTCAATGTATACAGAGATATATAAAAATATAAAATAGAAATGAAAATAAGTATTCGGAATAGATAGAATATAAATAACACCATACATCAATCTACATTTTAAATGTAAATTTGAATATAAATGCGAAAAATAGAGATAAATTTAAATGCAGTTTGAAAGATAAGGGGTTTTTAAAAGATTTTTACTTGGATAGAGGCAGGGGTTTATTTTAAGCAATATAAAACTTTTAGAAATAGAATAATGTAAGAATAGAAATATGTAAGTAATGTATTAAGCAATGTAAAAAAATGTAAATTGTAATAAAATATAATAGGAATAAATGTAAGAAATTATTAAAATTGCAATTATACATCAATATGCATTATAAATCTGAATGTGAATATAAATATGTAAAATATAAAAATAAAATATATTGAGATGCAGTTTGAAAGAAAAGGCTTTTTCTTTTGGTTCTTATGGGGTTAGAGGCAGGGGTTTTTTGCTGGCGTTCTTTTCCACACGGGATGTTTTGGGGCATTTGCTGCCGAGGACGTTCCGGAGGGGCGGGCGGCAGTGCTGCCGCCTAGTGGACACAGAGCGGTACTGCAGCCCGCCGCTCGCGGCCGCTATCTCGGGAGTGACCTGTCGCGGACTCGCGTGCCGTGCACACGGGCTGTGGGCTCAGCGGCTCCGTGGGCGGGTGGATTTCGAGCAGGCGCTGACCGGCATCGGCAGATTTGCCTCTCTCTGCCCAGCTCCTGCAGCGGCCGCCATCCTGGGCGCGGCCCTTGCCTCTACCACGCTGGGTGCCCGTCCCGTCCCCTCCCGTGCATTCCCACCGCCTCCCTGCCGTACAGCTGGAAATAAACAAAACCAACGTAGAAATATACATAGGTTAAAAAGAAAGGGCTTTTGGGGCGGGGCGGCCTTATTTGGTTCGAGGCAGGATCTTTTAGTTTCTGTGCGGGATTTTTTGGGACATTTATTTCGGAGGATTTTTTCCCAAGGGGATCGATCGCTGCCGCTCTTTTCCCCCTGCCTCCCCTCCGGGCGAGCGGCGGCCCCCGGCTGTGGCGGGCGGCAGTTCTGCCGCCTTGTGGACACAGAGTGGTACTGCAGCCCCACAGCCAGCGCCCGGCCGAAAACCACCGAGACGGGGCGGGAGGGGCCAGAGCGGCCCCAAACCCACCGAGACGGGGCGGGAGGGGCCAGAGCGGCCCCAAACCCACCGAGACGGGGCAGGAGGGGCCAGAGCGGCCCCAAAACCCACCAAGACGAGGCGGGAGGGGCGCGGGGCGGCAGCGAGCGGTGAGCGGGGCGGTGTGTGTGAGTAGAGGGGAGCGGTGAAGGCGGCTCAGCGGCGGCGCCGGGGAAGGGTGGCAGCGGTGAGGGCAGCCCGGCGGGGCCGGTGTCGGCGGGTGGCGGAGGCGCGGTCGCAGCGCTCACGGGCCGGGGCCGAGCGGCGTCGGAACAGGGCTGCGCCCGCCCCTCCTGCCGCCCTCCTGGGAATGGGTTGAGGCATTATGGGTTTATTGAGGTAGGGATAACTATTTTGTTGTTTTGTAAACAAATGTCAGTTGTTCTGACAGGAACAGGCTGAATGGGGCTGTAGCTCTGCCTACAAGGTCAAGCAGTGATAAGGCCTTGTCAGCACCCTGGGAAGTAGAGGATGGGTAAAGTGAGCCTCTGTGTAGCACTTCTCTGTAACAGATTAGCAGCTGCTGTAGCATCATTTCCTAGACATTGAGTGGTCTGGGGCTGGATTAGAAAAAAATTAGGTTTAGTGTATTGTTTAACAGCTGCAGGTGGAGGAACCTGTGCCTTCTGCTCTCCCCACAGCTGTCTCGGCTGTCACACCTGTCCTGAGGAAAGCCCTGTGGAAGGAGCTCGGTGCCACGATTCAGGACCCTGAGGCCACTGTGAAACTGCAAATTCTTTCCAAGCTGTTGCCACCTCCGGGAAGCAAAGGGCTGCACAACCTGATGGACTGCCTTCCTGCTGCTCCGGAGAGAGCAGGCAATGAAGAGAGGTGGGCAGTGTGTGTGTGTGTATGCCTCCCCCAGGGCTCAGTTTGTCCTGGGAATCAGTGTGATAGGAATGGGAGCATTAACAGCATCCTCTCCTCCGAGAATCTGTTGCTTTGCACTTTGGCAGCAAGACATCTTTAAGATATACAAAACCAAGTTAAAATGTTAATAAGAAAATCAACAGCTATCTCTCTGCAGCTGGGCCGTGGCAGATGCCATATCCACGGTGCTTAAAAACTCAGAGGAGCTGCATTCCTGGAGGAGACATCTCTTCTCAGCCTGCATAAAGGGGTTAGTTGCCATGTACAGCAGCAGTAAAGATGAAGGCAAGCAAGAAGTGGAGAGGTCCATGCTGCTGAGGCTAGAGGAATTATTGGTGAGACTGCTTATCTGCTTTGCCACAGAGGGACTGTATGCATATGTGTGATTGGGCAGTTGTAGATTTTGTAAATACAGATTGGACTCGATTTCCTGTTTTATGGATTCTGGTTTCCATGGATTTTTCATAGCTTTTTCCGAGTCCTGAGAATCCTTTATACGAGGCAGTTTTATGTTCTTTTTGATGGCTTTCTGGTACGAATCCCCTTTGAATGTAGGAGTTTGAGGTATTTAGGAGTAAGAAATCAAAGGTTACCAGTGGATTTTTTAAAAAAATTAAGTTTAAATTAATTATTTAAATTATTATAAATTAATTAATTTAATTTTTAAACTTAAAGTTATCACCTTCTTTTTTAAAAGAGGCTGATAGAGATACTTGTGCCAAGACCCATCTGCCATGCCATCTGAAGTCTGGGGCAAAAGTCTGGTTGATCAGGAATAGAAATCAGACTTTGATCTTGAAGAACACTACTTGGTCACTCCCTCTGTATACTGTTGCCTTGGTTTGAGTTCAGTGAACACGGATCCCTGTGACATGCAACACTGAAGGTCTCAGGGCAGTGAATGCCTTTGCGCTCTCATGGCTTTTGCTGAGACTCCCTTGTAGGACCTGGCTGACTCTGCAGTCCCTGGGGCCACCTCACAGGGTCCATCCCATCCTGAGGGTGTTTCCAGCCTGGCGAGGTTGGCACCTGCATTCCCAGGACTGTTGAGATGTGCAGCTGTCAGTCTGCTCCAGGCTCTCGCTTTGACTTGTCAAGTTGCGAATCCTTTTGCACTTGAGGAGTTTGAAGAGTATTGAGCCGCTGGGTTTTTGGAACCTACAGCCCAGCTTGCTTTTTGATTCCATACAGCCCCTGCTCCCAGACCAACAAGTTTCTTTTGAGCCAGGAATTAGGATTGTTGTATCCAAGAGCTTTTTTCCCTGTTACCCTCAGATCATCCCACGTGAGCGTTTGGCTTGCGTGTTCTTAGTGTGTGTCCCTTGAACAAAAATTGCTGTAGAAGCTCCATGTGCCAAATGTAAACCAACACCTGTTTTTACTTGCTGCACACAGTGTGTGGTTGAAGAAGTGGACCCAGATGACTGGTGTGACCTTGTGAAGACAGGGCTCAAGTAAGTGCTTTCATTTGAATTTGGTTTGGTTTCACCAAGTTCATTTTCTTTGCCAAGTTCTCATTTCTTACCCAACTTGTAGCTTCAAGTGGGTTTTCTTGGGTTTGGTTACAGTCTGACTTCTCTGTGATCCTTCTCCCAAAGGTACCGTTACAGAGATGAAACATTTCTGAAGGTCCTGAACGTTGCCATCCAGTTACTATACATGAAAGAATCCTCACTTAGAGCGTAGTCAAGCTCTCCAAACTACACATGGTGGTCACACAGCACTCTCTATTTTTGGCAGCCATCCTGAGGTCAAGAGAAGAAGATGGCATGAGCGTCCAGACAAGAGGTATTTTTTAATCATCTTCTTCCCATCCTAAACACAGCTAATCTTCTCTTTCTTGCATTATATTCTCTCCATCCAGTAACACATCCACCCATCTAAATACTTGCAGAGTTATTAGCAGTTCCAGAATACTGGCATTTAAATTGTACCTCTGCTTGGATCCAAATGTTACATTCATTTTATGCTGGTTTTAAAGACTTCTGTTTTTAAAACTAGTGGAAAGGTGGGTTTGGGTTTTTGTTTGCTTATTTGTTGTTCTGGTATTTTTAACCCAGCTGAAGTCTTGGATTTATTCTTTTGGTTTCTGAGGTACTTAGTGTAAGATCACTGAAGTGCACATAGATCCTATGATGTTTAAGCCTCGGCTACACGTGACACAGGCTTCTGAAAATGGAAATGGCCTTGGCAGAGTGAAGCGAAGCAGAATTAAAATGCATGTGAGCAGAAGAACCAAGCGAAATGGTACTTCTGGGTGCTGTGTGCTCCTCTGGCCTCTGCCTGCTGTGAACACTTTGTGTTGCAGCTCGGTGTAGTCCAATTCAGTGTTTGTTTGGTTTGATTTTTGTGTGTAATAAAAACACTGGTCACTTACTCTAAACAACTTCCCTCCTTTACTGGACACATCCTGGAGTGGGACCAGACTCCCCCTCACCCTGGAGGAATTCCCTGCTCCTCTGGAGAGGGGTGAAGCCAAAGCTTAGGAGCAAAGGCAAATCACCAAACCAGGGGCATTCTATATATATCCAAATAAGGGGCTCTGTCTTCCTGCTTTTCCTGTAGTTCTCCTTCCTGGTTTCACCTGGCCTGGAAGGATGGGCATGGCCTGTATTTATCATCTGAAAGTGGTGTTACTAAATCTGTCCAGAAGTTCTGATTACAGACACTCATTTTCTGCCAGAAAACATTTTAATTTCATTCCTTTCACCCAGGATGGCTCTCTGTGGTCTCAGACAGTGTTCCCTGGGAGGAAGGGCAGCCTTTGCCTCGCCTGCACAGCTCAGGTGGATGTGACAGAACTGGTGTGGCCTGACAAGGCATGAGCAGCTGTCTGTGCACTGGAGTGCCTTGAAAACTTTCTCTGTGAGGTTTTGGACACGTTTCTCTTTGGGATTTCTTGTGACACATCACCCAGGTGTCCCTTCCTTTGTATAAAGTCCCGTGGTAAAGGATTGAATGACGGACAAGTGGGGCCTGGGATAAAAATGGTTCTGTTAAAATTAGGCTAAGAATGCAATAGAGAAATGAGCTTCCTTTTAATGAAATAGTTAGGAATAAAAATGCTTTTATATTTGAATTGGTGTCCCCTCTCATGGATAAAACCCCATAGTGAGCAATCACAGCAGAAGTGTGAAAGCCGGGATCCATTGGCTTCCACAGTGGACTTAATGTTCTTTTCCTCCTCTCTTTCAGGACAGGAGAAATCATTGAGCTCCTCCCATCTTTGCCAGAAGCTTCAGTGTTTAAGCAGCCAGAGCCAAGAGGCTTCAGCACCAGGGGTGTGCGCTGGAGGGCTCCTGGTCCTGCCCATGCTGTGGGGTAAGTCAGAGGGACGCAGGGTTCCCCTTTTCCTCTCTGCTGGGATTAAGTGCCTCGGGAATGCCATTTCTGACAGCCCAGCCCTACCCCTGTGTGCTGGGAAAGGGCAGCAGGGAAGAGGCAAATGCCAGAGTTCCTTGGGGCTGACGGAGTTGTGGTGTTTGGCTGTGCCCAGGGGGGCAGGCTGGGCATTGTTCAGGCACCCAAGGACTGGTCTGGGGCTGGGAGCCCGGGGAGCCGAGCTCTCGGTGCATTCCCAGCTCTGCCAGCTGCTGCAGGGCTGGGTGCCAGCCTCTGCTGGGGCTGGGGCAGGAACTGCAGGGGAGGGCTGGCAGGATTTGGGAGCAGAGGGAGGAAAATGAGGAACAGTGCTGGGCAGTGCTCAGCCTGTGCTGGTGTCAGCGCAGCCGTGCAGGGCGCCGGGATCTGGGTTCAGCTCCGGCTCTCCTGGGGTTCAGGGTGCAAGGTCGGAGGGACTGGGTTTATCTGTGGCTTTCCAGGCCAGCAGGAACAAGGGGAATGTGGTGCCAGAGCTGTGTCCCATCGGGCTGCGCTTCCCTCTGAGCACAGAGAGTCTGGGCTGAGGGGAGATTGCTGCGAGTGCCCCGTGAGCAATCCAGGGAACTCGGAATTGCATCCGCTGCTGGGAACACTGCCTGAGCTCTGCTCAGGCTGTGTCTGCGAGGAGTGGGATTTGGGCTGCAGAGGTGCTGCTGGGCACAGAAAATGGAGTAAATCCTCTCCAGGGACGTGCAGTGAAGGACAGTGCAGCAGGGAAGGGGAATATTTACAAACTATATCAGTATTTCTCCCAAAACTGGGAGAAATGGGGTGGAGCAGAGATGGGGGTGGTTTGGTTTTTTCTGGGCCGGTTATTCCTTGTGCAGTGTTTTAAATCTGCTGTATGATTTACTCTCCAGTATCTTTCTAACAAAAGCGGACAGAAATTTAGGTTCAGGGTTAGAAGTTGGGTCCATTCACTGCAAAACCTTGCCCAGGCTGGAGGACTGGGGTGATGGCTGCTCTTAGCAAAGGTTACCTATGAATACCGTGTCAGATTTCCCTCAATGCTGGGCAGGACAGGTGAGGTTTGGATCAGGAATTCTGCAAACAAGGCCTGTGTGATGTTGGTTTATTGTGTTTTTCAGGGAGCCAGGACTGGCACAAGGACTCGTACAGGTGCTGCTCTGGCACTGGAGCTGTTGCCCTGTGGAGCCATTTTAAAGGTGTGATTATGGAACATTTTGGAGGCCGTTTCTGGAATTCCATTTGTAGCTGGATCTCACTCCGAGTGCAGCAGTCCATGTGAGGGTTCTGATCTCTCCAGACTTGTGCTCACCTTGGTACAGCCCGGGGCTGAAGCAGGTTTTCCAGGGAAGTGGAGATGGCTGAGGATGGGTGCTCTGGAAAGCAGGGACCTGCTGGGATTTGCATTTGCAAAGCTGCCGTGAAGTTTGTAAAACCAGCAGGAAATTCTAATTCCTGTGGTTTTTGGGGAGGAGGTGCAGGTCACCCTGAGAGCTAGATCAGAACTCGTTTGTGGTAAGGAGTCTGAGGTCTGTAAGTCCCACAGCTGGTATGAGCTGTATGCTAAATGCAGTCCCAGCCCCAGAGGGAGGCTGATGGGCTCTGCTCATTGCTGTCCCCAGCTGTCCCCAGCCCGCTGCTCCCCCGTGGATCTGCTCTGGATTTGGGCTGTCGGTGCTGGAGCGCCCTGCTCCCTGCAGGGCCCTGCCCCTAACCCACGCAGAGAGAGCCCTGCTGGCCAGAGTGATCTTTTTTCATTTTTTCTCCCTGTGCTGTTAGCAAGGAAGGGATGGGACTGCTCTTGGGCCGGGAGCACTCAGTGCTCAGGTAAACACCCGCCTCGGAGCGTGAGGGTTTGCAGAGCGAGCAGCTGCTGCGGCTCAGGAGCGGCCACAAGTTCTTTGTTCCAAGGCAGGCCAGAACTTTCTAACCCCGGGGTTTATTTGGCTTTTCGAACCCAGCACCTCTGCTCAGTTCTGCCGCACTGAGGGTACTTTTGTTCAATGCCTTCTGTTGGAACTTGTCAGCTCTCAGTGTAGCGCACACAGCCCCAGCCCTGCCCTGCAAACCCTTCCCCATCGTGCCCACACAGTTTCTCTCTCACTCACTCGGGGCAGGCTCTTACTGACAGCCACAGAAACAGAAGTTATTTTATTTTATTTTATTCTTTTCCTGCGTAATGCCCGTGTCTTGTATTGGTACATCAATCCCAGCTTCTCCCGAGGCTGCAGATCAAATCTTTCAGTGTCTGTGGGAGTTTCTGGTTTTCCCATTCCCACGTCTCCCCTCTCTCTCTGTATGAAAAAAAAGTTTTTATTAATGGATTTGTTAAGCATTTGTTGCATATATTAACATAAGGAAGGTGTTATCATTAGTAGTAGTATTATTATAATAATATAATTACCATGTATAATTTTGGTATAAGATTTTTTAATTAGGGTGTTAAATTTTATTTATTGTTACGTTTTATTAGTTATTCTTATTTTTGATATTTCTTAAAGTTGTACATTTTTATAAGTAGATTTTGTGTGATTAAATGTATACATTTTATTACATTTTTGTATTTATGTTTGTGTGTTAATAAAAGAAAATTTATTGTTGGTTTTTTGTAAAACTGCATATTTAATATTTTTATATTTTTTAAATTGTTATTTATTGTAAGGGATGTAGAATTAGATTGTTTGTTTATATAATATTTTAACTGATTTAATTGTTTTAGCGTTGTTGTTGAAGTAATAGGTGGTATAAAAAGTGATGCTACCATTTTTAAGTTTCAAGGCTTAAAATTACTTTTCTATTTTGGCTACTATTGATGGATAAATGACTTTTTTGTTTTAAATTGTTAACTATTTTTATATAAGGGCTTTTTAATTATATGGGTGATTTGTAATGTTTTTTATTGGTATATTAGGTAAGTAAGTAAAGAATGGATTTTTTGAGTAGTGCTAGATAAGTACAAAGTATTTAAACTTGAAACTTCAGTTAAAGTTACTTAAACGTTTGGTTTAGGTTGGTTAATTGGTAAAGTGATATAATTAAAAGCAAATAAAGTAAATAGAGTAGAAGTATAATATTTGATAGAATTTTATAATTTGTAATTATTAAATAAGATTTTTATAATATTGATTTTTACATTTATAAAGAAACTTAAAGTTTATATATTTTGGTGGGTGTAGTACAAGATGTTAGGTGTAAGTTGCAATTCTTGTGTAATTTACGTTTGTATTTACATAGTGTAATTTATCCTTGTATTTATGTTGGTGTTTTATTTGTGGAGTGGTGAGTGTGTTTTTTGTGTGATCTGGTTTTATGTTTCTTATTGAAATTTACTTGGGTTTTTGTACTTATTGAGATATAAATAAACTTTATGTTTTGATATGAGAAATAATGATATAAATTGTTATAATTTTTCATTTATAAGTATGAAGAAATATAAGAGTAAAATAATCCATGTAGTAAAGAAGAAATTGATCATAATTAGGAATTACTTAGATAATATCTATATTTAGTAACATAGGAGAAATTATATAATTAGTAAGTATTAAAAGATTGTACATTATTTTAGAGTTTATAATAGTTGATAAAAGTTAAATTAGTGGTAAGTTAAATATTTATGTGTGGATAATGATTTTTTTAAGTTTATTCTAAAAATAAGGTTATTTGTTATATTGATGAAGTTAAATTGTTAAGTTAAAATTATTTGAATTTATTTTTGACGTAGAAAATATTTGGGTTTGTTGTTAATTATTTTATTTAGGTAGAGTTAGGGTTAGGTTAGAGTTTAAATTTTAATTGGTGAATGTTACTTAATATATTTTTATATAATGTTTTTAAATGTAGTAGTTAAGAGTAAAAATGTTAGGATTAGAGATTAATTACATTATTTAATAATTGATTTTTTTAGAAGTTTTTTAGAATAGAGATGCTTTGAATATAGTAACCTTTTTTTTTAAGGATTTGAAAGTGGTTATGGACAGGATTGTGAGTTTGGATTTGGATATTGAGAGTGTGAAGGTGGAGGAAATGTATGAGAGAGTCATTACTTGTTGTGAAACAGAAAAATAAATTAATGTTGTAGTTGGATTTTATATTGAAGTGATTTTGTAATAATAACTGAGGAAACTGATAAGATTAACAGTTTGGAGGAGGTTTTTAATGAAATATCTTTTTTTTAATCTTGAAAAATATTTAAAATGATGAGATAACATTAGGTTAAATTATAGAGTTAGTGTAGAGATTAGTTAGAGAGTTAACTTGGTGTAAGAGCGGTATAAGTTGAGAATAAAAAAGTAGGAATTGGAAATTTTGTGTGGTTTTAGATCATTATATAAAGAGATAAAGTATATTAGTAGTAAGTGTTTGAAGAAGTTAGGATAACTTTTAAAAAATATTTATATATTAAGGAAATAGAGTAAAATTTTAAAATAGTATGATATGAATAGTAATTGCTATTTTTTGGTGTTACAAAAGATAAAAAGAGTAGAGATTGTAATGAAGAGCAGAATTTTTGATGAAATTGATGATATAATACACTGTATTTTTTTTACTTCTGAATAGGCGTTTGTTAGTGTTTTCTTTTAGTTGTTTTCATTGGAGTTGTTTTAATTTTTAAGAAAATTAACCATATACTGTATAGTTTAGAGAAATTATCTTTGATAAAATTTTGGATAAGTTATATTAAATAACATTTAAATTTAGACTGAATGAATTTTGATAGTAAGGAATAATAAACTTAATTTTAATAGATAAAAAGAAACTTAATGTATTTATTTAAATGTAATGACATTTAATTTTGTTTGATTTTATTAACACGACATATTGGATGTTATTATTTATAAATATTGAAGGTTTTTTAAGTCTTTTGGTTTTGAAGAAATTTTAGTTGGTTGAGTTATGATTGTTACTTATATCTTTACAGGGTGGTTTTATTTATTGGGAGATATGTTTCTTAGTAAAAGATTTTTATTTATGTTACATTTCAAATGGTACTAATTTGTATAGTGGGGTTTTTTTTAATGCAGGATATTGATTAGATTGTTTTATATCTTTTGTGGGCTTTGAAAAACATTTATATGGTTAGGCTTTTCTATTTTTGAAGTATGTTTTGATGGGTTTTGTTGTTTTTCTAAGAGTTTTGATTAGAATTTGAAGAGTATTTGGCTTTTGGAGGAAATAAAGGTGAGGGTTTTTGGATACGGTTGAGTTGTATGGTATGTTATTTTGATTTTTTGTTTGGTTGTGGGGAAGGTCTCCTTTGATTAGATGTGGAAGCGTGAGACTGGCACTAGGACTTTTTGTCTAATGCTTGATGAGTCTGTTTTATGGGGAGGAGGTGTTATTTTAAGTTTTATAAAATACACTGAGAATTAGTTAAACTCATGGAAGAAACATTATGGTAATTAAAGGGTGCTATGTTTAAAGAGCTATAAATCTGTTTTAATAACTGCTTGACATAAGGTGAGCTCAATCTACTTTTTCTGCCCCAGCAAGCATCAGGCACATCCGCATCAATGGCACGACCTCTGCCCACTGCTCCTGTTTCACCCGACCAAATTCAAGAGCAAAAGTTGGTTGGGCTTTAAGAACATGAAATAACTTTGAAGCAAAATAAATCACATTTTTCCCCTGTGTTTTTTTCCTTTCAGATGCTGCACTCACCTCTGCAGACAAGCGCTGAGCTCTCACTGCAGGAACCCGTCAGGCCTCGGTGGCTGTGAGTTCATGTTCTTCTCACTGGGGAATTGAAATAATTGCTGGTTAATTGCAGAAATGTTTTCTGGAGCCTTTCCCCTTTTGTGCCCCTGTGCTGTGTGGGACAAGGGCAGAGGAGCCTCGGGCTGGAAAGGGGCGGGAGAAGGCAAAGGGACCTCCTGGTGTCCCCAGGGCTCTGTGGGGAACAGAACAGACACTGTGCGGGCACGGGGAGGTGAGGAGTGACAGTCTGGGGCCAAATCCCAGCTCACCCGCAGGGAAATAAGTGAGGGACATTTTGGAGGGGAAAGCTGAGGTCATGAGTTCACCCAGCCTGGCCAAGTTGTGTTCGCACAAAGTGGCACCAGAGGTGAAGGTCAATCCAGAGCCCACCCTGCTCAACCTCTAAGTCCCAGAATAAATTCTACAAGCTGCCCGTTGAGGGACTAAAAATACATGAAAGAGAACCAAGAGCATTCCGAGAGCAAACCAGAAGGTTCCTGGGAATCCCACTGCATTGTTGTCACAGCCTTTTTGACAGAGCTCTTAAGTTTTTTATTTCAATGCTGCGTTTCTCTGCTGGGATCATTCACTCTGGGGGCTGTGGGGACTTTTTGGGTTTGAACTCCCTCCCGGTGGCCCTGACACTGCTCAGGAGCTGGAGGAAAAGCAGAGTCAGCGCTCCTGGCAGGGGCAGGGAGTTTTCCCCCAGAGCAGATGCAGCAGCTGCCTTCCAGCCCGGCCAGGAGGGATCTGCTTTGGCTCCTGGCACCTGCAGGCACAGAACGTGTTCAGCTGCTCCAGGTGACATTCCAGCGGCCTCATCTCCCATCCAGCCCAGCCAGAAGGGATCTGCTTTGGCTCCTACAGGGACAGAACGTGTTCAGCTGCTCCAGGTGACATTCCAGCTGCCTCATCTCCCATCCCTGCTCCCGCCCCTCTTGCTCTCAGCTCCCGCCCTGCCAGCTGTCCCACCAGCAGCAGGGGAAGGACAAGGGCTCCCACCCTGGCACTTGGATTGTCCCTCTGGGGCATGCTGCTTGCTGGGATTTCGATCATTCCATACATTTGGCTGCTGAAACTTCCTCACCCAGGGGATTTTGCACAAAGATTGTTCTCTGCGTGGTGCCGGGATTTGGGGTTCAGTATCAGCTTTGCTAGTTCAGATGAATTATACCCACAGCCCCAGGTTCCCTGCTGAATTCCTGCTGGAAATAACCTGACAGTGCCTCGTGGAGAGTGGAAATTCCCATGCAGAGCTGCCACTTTAGCACCAGCTGTGTCAGGAACCAGCAGAAGTTCCAGGGAAGCTCAGTGGGATCAGGACAAGGACAGGTCTCTATTCTACAGAACTTGCTATTTAAAACCCTCATCCCCCAGCCCCAGGGATGTCTCTGGGGTCACTTGACAGAGTTCCCTGGAACTCAGCTGATTTCAACCCCCCAGAGCTCAGGCTCCAGTTGATGTTTTAAAGCAGGACAAGGCAGTGGCTGGGTGCGCTCCCGGCCTGTGCTGAGGCAGAACATCTCTCCTGCAGAAGCTCCGCTCCTTTCAGAGCCTCAGCAGCGGCCTCTGCATGGCCTTTTCCCTCAGGAAAGGGATGCACATCCCTGCCTGCAGCACACCTCCAGTGGGACCCACCTGTGAGAGTTTTCCATCACTTCTGCACCTCCAGCTGGCTCCCTGGAAATCTCCAAACATCATCGCACTCGAACCTCTGATTTTAAGGCATCTCCGAGGCTGTGGCTTGGCATTTAGTATCTGTGAAGGAAGATTGCCTTGGCTCAAATTGCCTTTGCTCTTCTAGGGGATGCGGTGGAAGGGGAGCCCACATTTCTTTGTCCTAGCTGAAGTGAGGTGAGCGCCCGAGAGTGGCGTCAGTTTCGGGGCTTCAAAGGAAGGGAGGCGCGGCTGTGGCAGCACTGGCAGGGTGGGCGTGGGGCTGTGCCGCTGCATTTGGGGTGCTTCTTCTGCCCCTGGCCTGGCAGCAAAGGGTCCGGCACGGGAGCCCCGCTGGCAGTGGCTGAGGATGGCCGAGGTGGGAGGGGAGTTTGGCACGGCTGGGCTGCCGCGGGACTGCTGGAGCCGTGCCGGTGCGAAGCCGAGGGGAGCTTTGGCCGGGCCGGCGGGCGGGGCAGGCGGCGCGGGCGCTGCGCCGGTGCCGGCCGCTCCGTCCGCTCCGGGCGCGGGACTCGGGCGCCTCCGGGGCCCCCCGGGCCCGGTGCCGGCCCCGCTGGGCCGGGGGGAGCGGGCGGGGGTCTCCCGGCGCGGCGCCGCCTCTGCCTGCCGGAGGATCCTCTTTCCTGCCGGGAGCGCGGCTTCTCATTTTCCAGCGTTCCTTGCTGGCGTGGCTGTGAGGTGGTTCTGGGGAACTTATCGGATGCTTTTCTGTTGTCCGGAGTTGGTGTAGGAGAAGGGCCGTGGGGCACTTTTTGGTTGGTATGGTTCTCGCTTCAGGCGCTGATGACAAGGGGTTTTTTTTGGCTTGAGTGTTGTTGTTGGATTTCTTTTTGATTGTTTCTGATGTTTTTAAAGGATGATTTTTTAAAGGCTTACAATGTTTTTTCTGGTCGTAGCATGAAGTTGAGGGTAGGTTTTTAATTGGGTTGTGGAGGCTTTTATTAGCGTGAGTGTGTAGTGATTGTTTTGGTGGCTTGAGGTAGTGTCCTGTACTTAATTAGTTAGGTTATTTTTTTTTTTTATATTCATGATTGTATTCTTGTTTATTATATTATAGGGGTTTTATTCATTTGGCTTATTTGATTGCCGTGTGTGTTTTATTGTTGCAGAAAATTTGGAAGTTATTGTTTATGGTTACATTTCTCTTTTGGCGATGTGCTTATTTCTAAGTGGTATTTGTGTTTTGATGGTTTGAGGCATTATGGGTTTATTGAGTTAGGAATAATTATTTTGTTGTTGTTAATATGATTTTTTTTTGGTAGTTTGATGTATTTGGTTGTTGTTTTTTATTAGTTTTGTTTTTGGGAACGTGGGTATTTCTATGGTGGATCTTTTTAGGTAGTTATTTTATTTCGGTGGTGAATCTTTTCTTTCTTCGTGGTTCCGATTTTGTTATATCGGTAATTATTTGGTGGGGTTTTTTGGTTCATTTTATAGAGTATTGGGTTCTCTTTAGGAGTTAGTGTAGTGGTAGAGTTTTGGTGGTTTTTTTTTGGTTTTGTTTTTTTTAAGAAACGTTCGGGGTCTGTTGTATGGTTTGGAGTATATCAAGTTAGTTGGTGGGTTTTTTTTTCTTAAAGGTTTTTTTGTGATTTGCTGTGTGGGTTTCTATAGGTCTTTTTAAAAATGTTTGTTTCATTTTTGTGATGTGATAAGAACTGCTAGTGAAAGAAGTGTAGTGCAGGTTTTTTTGCTGGTAGTTGGTTGGCTGTGGAACAATTCTGAATATTTTGGACGGCATTGTTGGGAATTTGATGCTGTTTGTTTTGGCATTTTAGTTTGAGGAACTGGATTAGAACTGCAAAGTTTTAACTCTAATGAAACAAAAGGAATGCATAAATATGAAAATGGGAATATAAAACTTCAATTTTAAATATGAACGGAAAACATATAAATAAAACATGTAACATGAATAATGTTATCCATTACTATTAGGTATTATATTGTTTGATATAGGGTGTTTTATATGTTTATATACATATAAATGTAGATTATAAATATAAATATGCATCTAGAAATGTATAATTAATACATGTGGATATATAAATATTACAAAAGAATAGGAATCAATACAGTACATAATGCATATTTTACTGTATATGTCGTATTATGACACATTATATGTCATAAGAATTATAGCTCGAAATATAGTACCTCAAGATATTGTGATAGAATATATAAGTACTTGTAAAAATCAAAAATAGAAATAAAGAAATATGTAAATATAGTTTAAAGTAAAGGGGATTTTAATTGTCTATTTGGTAGTAGGTAGGGGTTTTATTATAAAAATTATAAATATAAATAAAATTAGAAATCTATGTATAGAAATATATCCTAAATACGTTAAGAGCTATATAAAATCTCAAAGGTAAGTAAATATAAGTATTTGCGGTATGTACAAAATAGAATTGAAATGAAAATTTATCTATCTTGCTACCTTATTATCTATATAATATATATTTATAGATACATCAATATAAAGGAGAAATGCACATGTGACTATAATGATGAAAAAATATATGAATATTCAAGTAGGGTTTAAAGAAAGGGATTTTTTTGTTTTTATTTGGTTAGAGGCAGGGTTTTAATGGAAAAACTATGAATATACATTTTATTTTGATATCATTCTAAAAATGGAGATATATAATCAATGTATGCAGGTATAGATAAAAATACAAAATAGAAATAAAAATAAGTATTAGGAAGAGATAGACTATAAATAACACCATACATCAATGTACATTTAAAATGTACATTTGAATATAAATGCGAAAAATAGAGATAAATTTAAACGCAGTATAAAAGAAAGGGGGTTTTAAAAAAATTTTTACTTGGATAGAGGCAGGGTCTTTATTTGAAGCCATATAAACCTTTTAGAAATCTAAATCTAACTATAGAAATATATAAGCAATATATTAAGATATGTGTAAAAATATAAAATATAATAAAATATAATAGGAATAAATGTAAGAAATTATAAAAATAAAATTACACATCAATCTACGTTATAAATCCAAATGTGAGTATAAATATGAAAAATATAAAAAAAAAAAAGCTTGAAATGCAGTTTAAAAGAGAAGGTTTCTGCTTTTGGTTCCTATTGGGTTAGAGGCAGGGGTTTTTTGCTGGCGTTCTTTTCTGCGTGGGATGTTTTGGGGCATTTGCTGCAGAGGAGGTTCCGGAGGGGATCGTGCCCGTTCTTTTCTGCCGCTGGCCCCGCTCGTGGCCCCGATGCGAGCGGCGGCCCCCGGCGGTGGCGGGCGGCAGTGCTGCCGCCTTGTGGGCACAGGGCGGTACTGCAGCCCGCCACCCACGGCCGCCATCTTGGGAGTGGCTTCTCGCGGACTCGCTTGACCTTCTCGAGAGGGCGCGAAAAAGAGGACGTTGGCATTCGAGGACCCGTGTCTGTTTTCTACACTGCCTGAATTGTCCCCAACGCCGGCGCCCCCCGACGGGATTTTCCGCGGCGGTTCCGGTGCCGTGCACACGGGCTGTGGGGTCAGCAGCACCGCGAGCATGCGGGTTTTTGGCGGGGGCTGACAGGCATCGGCGTAATACGCCTCTCTCCATCAAGGTCCCCACGGGCCGCCATCTTGCGAGTCCCTGGTCGCGGACTCGCTTGAAAAGTGCTGCCGCCTTGTGGGCAGAGGGCGGTACTGCAGCCCCGCCAGCCAGCGCCCTGCCCCTTGCCGCTGGTGCCGGGGCGGGAAGGGCGAGGGGCGGGAGCGAGCAGCAAGCGGGGCGGTGTCTGTGAGTGCAGGGCAGGGGTGAAGGCGGCTCCGCGGCGGCGGCTCGGACGGCCCGAGCCTCAAAAACAAGCTCTGGTAAGGAAACAAGCTTTGTGGTATGCATGCAGAAGAGGTAAGGAAGATTCCTCTCTGTTCTAAATCTAATGTACCCAAAAAAATTTGCATCAAAGTTTTTTGTACTGACGTTCTGGTGTATTTTATATATACAAAAGAACATATATGAGTACAAAAAATATATATATTATGCTTATATGGTGAGTGTTCCTGAAGTGCTGTCATCCCAACTTATTTTTGTGACTTCACAAGAAGCAGTTCAAATGTATTAGAAAGCAAGTTGCAAACTCTAGTTTTAGACGAATAAAATCATCTAGGCATGCCTATGCTATAATTCTATAGATACATGCATCTATAACATATATAAAACTGATTTCATTTACATGAGCTCCTTGTCTACACTAAGCCAGGAATTGCCAAAGGCTTGTTTTGAAGTTGAGACAGGAACAATCCATTATTACTGATTCCCAGAATGCTTCCTTATTTCAGGGGAATAAAGATCCTGTTTTTGGCAAATTCCTCAATGCAGAAGTACCTGCACTCATATAAGCATTCCCTTTATTTCTCTTTTAATTTCAAAAAAAAAGTTATTACATGTGAATCTGATTTATTCACATTACTTTAGTCTGGGTTTTTTGCATATATAATTGCTCTTAAGGTTATTGCACCTTGCCAGAAAGAAACCAAAGCATAAAAAATTTCCTCTGTTGTCGGAATCTGTGGGTATTGGTGATTCCGAGACTGTAGAAAGTCTCTGTCTTTCTGCCCCGTTGCCAAAGAAGAAGCCATAGTTCGTCTGTGCTGGTTTCAAGGTTGTTT